CCCCCCCCCACATACCCACACACCCACACCCCCCCACACACACCCCCCCACATCTTCTGTATCCATTCATCTGTCGATGGACATCTGGGCTCTTTCCACAGTTCGGTTATTGTGGACATTGCTGCTATAAACATTGGGGTGCAGGTGCCTTTAAACAGCATGATAAATTCTTTGTTTCCAATTATTTTGACGTGATCTGAAGTACACTTAAGAGGAAACAGGTATAGTTCTCCTTCTTACTTTCCCTGAGAGAAGCAGGAGAGGAAGGTGCAGAATGGGAGGAAAACCACGAAGACGCCCGCGGAGTAGGCTAGTGCTTCTCACTCTTCCAGCCGAAAAGGAATCAGGACTCTCTAAAACCTGAGCCAGAACCTGCTTATTGGAGGCAGTCTCCAAAATGGAAACCATCAGTATCTCTCCTCCCTGCAGGCTGTCTGTGCCCTGAGCCTCACAGAAGAGGTGGAGTCTGTCTCCCTCCCCATGGATCTGTCGTCCTGTGAGTCACTTTTCTCAGCACCGAAGGCAGAAGAGTCTGCTCCAGTTACGGGCCAGCCTCGCCGAAGCCCGGCGGCTCCTGCTTCTTTCCTGCTGGAGGCCAGCTGAGGTCCTGCCCTGAGCCACCCTGCACAGGCCGGCACCTGCAGACCACGGGCAGCGGCAGAACTGCCCGCGGAGTCCAGTTCCGATTACAGATTTGTGAGAAGTAATTGACTGAGGGTGAGTCCAGCCGCTAGGCTGCAGGGCCGTCTGTTATGCACACAGAACCGGAGCCCTGGGCTGCCCCGCCCACGACCAGGTTCCAGCTCGCCGTGGCTGGGCCGTCCACGGCGCAGATCCCTGTGTCGCTCACATCTCGAACACGCTCATTAGAAGGAGAAACTACATGAACAGGGACTTTACGTTAACATTTTCAGTGAGATGAACCAAACAGGTTGCAGAGATCTTTTCTTACAAGATGGGGTCGTGCTGCGAACTTCTCTCACGGTTTTTCTCCTTACTCCCTTTCTGCATCAAATCAGTGGTGTGGAAGGCGGAGACCAAACCAACGACAGATTCCACAGAACATGCTTGCTTTCGATCGCATCAATCATGAATGACAGTTACAGAAAAGATCGTTAAAACACAAGAGCGCCTCACTCCAGCACTGAGTACTCAGTGAGAACAAACTAAATCATGTGCAATAACTTTCTAAAAATTTAAATATTTTAGTTATTATATTGAGGTTCTGCATGATTTGTGATTCTGCTATCTGAACAAAACCTACATTTTAACGAAAAAACCCAACACCACCTCATTTTAGGTAGAGCTTTTAGGCCTAAAAAATGAGAATTTAAATCGTACCTGTCCTTTGCTGTTTAAATAACACATAAAATGTTTTGACAGAAAAGTGCCTCAGCCACCTAACGATCCTGTTCAGAAGGAAGCATGAGGCCAAGAAGCATGAACTAGGAACATGACATCTAGGAAGCCTGACGTCCTTCTCTGATCACAGTCAGCGGGACGGGTTCCAGAAGCCCTAGAGGCTGCTGGTCTCCACGGTGGGATCTCCATCTGTCTCTGCCCCCCTCTCCCTTGCTGGGTCTGGTGTGTAAGAAGGGACCCGCCTAGCCTCTGTGGTGCTCCTGGCGACGGCCTGCACGTCACCCTCACTCCGGGAACAGAGCTGGATGGTGTGAAACCCGCCTCTCTTATCTCACAGGGGGACCTGCACACGCGGCTGTCACTGCTAGGATCTGTCACTACCTTAAGCCGGCCTGGAGTCAGGGGCCTTCCAGGCAAGCTGACCCGGGAAGCCCAAATTCTTAGAATAAACTGCTCACAGGAAGCTTTCCAGGGACAAATGAGACACATTAACTCTTTCATGCATCAACGTTCATTTGGTGCCATCACACGGCAGGCGCGAGGCTGACGCTGGAGGTGTGTGATAAGGCCTCTGGCACAAGGCCTGCCCTGCAGGGAGACCTGTCTGCCAAGCCAGGGGGGCTTTCTGGCGGGGGGATGCGTCTGGAAGCCTGCGAGGTTGAGGAGAAGGGCAGGTGGAAAGGATGTTCCAGGAGGCGCTAGTGCAGAAGGAGCCTGGAGGTGAGCAGAGACACGAATGATGAGGGCCGGCCTGGACTGGCACACGGCCACACCCAGGACTTAGGCTCATCCACCCCAGTGTGGCCAGTTACCTGTGTGACTCAGGCGGCAGCAGAACCATGGGGATGGCAGTGGGAGGGTCGCCAGGTGTTCAGACTCCAGGAGTCAATGAGAGGCCAGGACAGGGAGGAAGGGAGTGGGGGAGGGCGGGGTTAAGCTGAATACTGCACTTGGAATGTCACGGAACATTCTTTCATGAGCCACGGGGCTGTGCCCTCCTCCACGTAAACCCAGACAGGCCAACTTCTGCACCCAGCTCCCCAGACCGACCAGTGTCCGTGGCCCCGCAGGCCTAGGGGTGGCCGTGCCTGCCTGCACCTGCCGCTTCCGGCAGGCCCTCCTCTGCCCCGGGGTGGACGGGGTTTCCAGAGCTCCAGTACAGTTGTCCAGCTTGTGAGAGCTGCTAAGGATCCCTGCTTTACTCCTCACTCCTGCCTGCTCTCTGAGCTGCATCGGGGAGGATGAAGGAATGCGCGCGTGGGAGGACTGACAGCTGGCTTTGGACAGGTTCTGGGCGGACCCACACCCAGAGTACCGGACAGTTGGGTGAAAATGCAAACAAAGGAAGGCCGTGAGGTGAGATGCTGGAGGTGGCTGAGGGAGGGGAGCAGGAAGAGAGGGAGGGGTGGGGGAAGGAAGAAAGGGGCCACTGCGGCCCAGCACGCCATGGGCAGGCAGGCCCACGCCCCAGTCACCTGCCAAAGGGAACGATGGTGGGGGGGGCGCACTGAGTGTGAACACGAACATCATCATGCAAAAAGAGACACGTCACCCACACACCAACTTACCTATAAAATATATTATTTATCTGTTTTCTGATGTAAGCTCTTAAGCCTAAGAATTTTCCATAGATTCTGTGAAGGGTAGTTTTAAGAAAATCTCTCTCTCGAGGATCTTCACTGTCAAAGAGCTCTAAAAGCTTCAAGAAGAAAAAGACACTTAGTGAACCAGTATTCCCGCTCTGTAGATTAGGGCTTTTGTAGCTTCAGCTAATTTGTGCCTTACCTGCAATACAAACTTCTGATCAATATATTTCTTCGCTATATTAGGTTGGAAATCTGGAGACTCTAAAAATCTTAAGAAAAATTCATAAACAAGCTAGGAGGAAAAAAACAATGAGTCAAATAACATGGTATTTTATTAGACGGCGATTAAAGCTACACAAGTTGAATCTCTGTCCGAAAATATTAAGCCTTTAAAAAAAAAAAGCCACATATCTACAGAATTAATGCCAAATACCACGGCTTCATTTAATTATAACTGATGCTGGCAATTGTTTTATTTAGCTCAGAACCACAGACTATACCCTGAAATGGCATTTAAACAAAATGATACCCACGGCGGGTGTCACTACGCTTAGCTGACGCTGCTGGGAGATCCCAGTGCACAGCAGCCCCAAGCAGGGCGGGACCTGCAGCCCGCCGCGAGCACGTGTCCTGGCAGAGCCGGGGGATAGGAAGCTGGGACAGCTCGGTAAGCGGGTCACGGATGCAGTCACCCGGGGTTGGGACGCTCCTCCCTTTCACGAGTGGACTGCAGGCTGTCATGGTTACACAGCAATCCCACATGCCTGGGGGTCATGTCCTGCCCCCGGGACAGCGCCCTTTTGTGATCTGTTCCCCATATCGCTTGTTCCCGGCTTCCACCTCTCCATCTCCCCTCCTGCAGATGACCCAGGCCCCGGTGAGGTGTGTGGCTTGCCCACACTCTGCTCACCGGTGAGGTGCGTGGCTTGCCCACACTCTGCTCACACTGGGCTCAGTGTCTTCTCAGGCGTCCAGCTTGATCTATGATCACCTTTTTGCCTTACAAATCTGTGAGTCAGGAGGTGAGCTTTGGGGTGCATTAAATCTACGTCCTGAAAACAGGGGGAGCATCTATCTGCAAAAGGCCTCGATCTAATGGCTATCAACGAAGAGGTTACTTCCATTACAAACATATTGACAATTCTGTATCTTCGTAGTTTGTGTCAAGGGTCCAAACAGACAGAAAAACCATTCAATGTTATCACTTCTGCTAAAATACCTTTCTTGTATGCACCGGTTTGCAAGGTCAGAGGTCCATTTGTCATCAGCCGGAGTGAGGCCCTATGGACCAGCGCACTTGCTTTAGAGACAAACCCCGTGAACACACACACTTAACTTGCGCCCGTTTCCGAGACACTCCCAGAGTTCAGTACCTGTAGATGAGGCCAGGCTGCTTCTAACGTGGGCTCGTCTTCCTCGGGGTCAAATTCTGCTCCCGTAGGATTGGAGGAAGGTGGTAATGTTCGAAACATGTTAACTGCAAACTAAAATCCACATATTCTCGAGTTATAACCAAGACATTCAAGGTATTTACAGAATACAGTTAAAAAAACATTTACAGAAAACATTAAAAAGAGTTACAGAAAACATTTTAATTCTAATGGTAGCTGCTTCTAGTGGTGACGGGGCTCGCCCTTATTCTTTTTTAGAAGCAGTGCGGATCCCTAACGAGATCTTGAGTCAAAAGTGCAGAAGGAGACCTGGCCCGCGGACGGATGGCCGCTGAGACGCCTGCTTGACTCTGAGCTGCCAGACTCACGGACAACCAGCCTCAACCAGGGCTGGTGGGCGGCAGTGAGCCCACGGTCCCCACCGTGCACAGGAAGCACCAAGCAAGGAGGCGGGTTGGTGCTGGGAAGTAAAGGATGAGATTACGTGAGATTACGCAGGCAGGAGCAGACTGAGGGCCTGACCTCTACGCAGGCAGCAGCAGACTGAGGG